TATATAAATACTAAAATAAACTACTTACTACTTGTACTACTATTCCTACTTTGCTGTTTTTCACTTATCACAGAGCTTCAGGGTACGGATCCCCGCGATAAATGAGGGACTACTGTATTATATATGTTTGAGTGGTAAAAGCATGCATGTAAATAGGAGGGTTTTAATAAGAAATACAGGAGGAGTCAGGATCATCACACATTTTTAGAGTTATGTATCATGGAAGAAACAAAACAGATCTGAAGGCGTTATTAACTATGGAGATAAAAATATATTTTAAAAGAGTTGTCTCAATCAGTCCACTGTCAGTGTGTTTTTGGTCAAGGTTTATGGATGTTTTATCACTACTAATGCATGTGCTTGAGTTGCCAGAGAGTTCTTTTCTCTCTCAGAGAGGGCTGAATGAGGAGCTTACTTGATCCTGCATGTGCAGCTGGATGGAGGCCAAGGCCGTCAGGGCCTGCCTCTGAGCCGAGAGCTCATAAGCATATATAAAAACAAACCTCGTACACTGCCCAGTGCAGATTCTCACGACTGGCCTCCATGATGTAGAACTTTTTTTATACACCTGTGCAATATGGAGTGAAAGTCTGCCCTTGCAAATAAAACCCGTTAAAAATCTTCTCGTGTCCTCGAGTAATGCTTCTTTGATGAATACAGGATATTTTTATCCAACACAGTGCAAATGAAATAAACTCAGAGCCACTGTTACATACACTTACCAGGATTAACACAGATCTGTAAGAGCAAGGTGTTTAGCTACCTTGGTCCCTAACAGACCTGTTTCACTCAGAACAACATCAGCGAACAGGGAAAAGAGACATTTATTGCTGTCCATAAAGAATATTGTGGTCCACCTGCAGTTTGTTAAACACTGCAGAGAGTGATTAGGAAAATAAAAACACATCAAAACTGTTAAAAAAGAACATGTTGGTTTAAATGTGAAGAGATAGGAGAACATAATCCATATTCTATTTGTGATTAACTGATCATAATTTGGTCCTTTTTGCATCTGAACCATCACTGACGAGTCACTCGTTTTTTTTTTTTACCTTTACCACTTCATTTTCAGGGAAAGAGCTGGGAAATAAGCTCATAATAAAAAGAAAAAGAACAAACCCCAACAAAAGCTTAACTTAATAAAGTTTACGTTTTGATAATTAAGCTTAAAAAAGTTTAAAGAAGATTAAGTAAAAAGTTATTTTTTGACAATTCACAGTTCACGCTGTTCTAAACAGCAGAATGTGCAACACTGTGTCAACATAGGATGTTCAAAGTTTTTTTTTTGTTTGTTTTACAGACGAATAAAAAGCAAGTTTTGATAGTTCACAGAATTTGTAATGCCAACATATCTGCTGTATTGTTTATTTCATGACACTATTTACTGACCGTTTCTCCAGGGAGAGGTTTGAGTTGGCCATCAATCACAGACATCTTTGCATCCTGGAGCTCACTCTTCAGTGTCTGTACAGTTTTGAGGGCTGAGTCAATCTCCAGAGGACCGCAGGCTTCGTGCGCCTTCAAATAATCCACAGACAAAATCAAAACAAATTACCCAAACTCAGTTATGCAGCGCAAACTTGATGCTAACCCTAACCCCAACTTGCTGATGGCTAGATAGGATCAGATGGCTGGATATGCATAAAAGTTTGAAAGCATCAATTTTCCAGTGCCAGTTGGATAAATCTTGTTATCTCTGACTGTATTATATAAATGGATACCTTCTGTGTAGCAGTCCTGAGCTCTGCCAGACAGGTTGCTAAGTTCTTGGCACACTGGCCCAGTTGCATAGCAGCAGCCTGATCAGCCACTGTTGGAACCGCTGACTTTGCCGACGTCACCATTTTACTTCCAGGCTGACAGATGGTGACACAGATAGAAAAAGAAAAGTATAAGAAAGGCAACAAGTTGTGTAAGTTGTGTGGCCTGTGATGAGGGTGGTTAACTGTGTAAAGATGACTTACTAACCTGCAGAAAGCTCTGGCTGGCCATGATGAGAGCAAGTTGGGGGCCAAGCTCCTCAGGCTGGGCCAGGCTGCTCCTCATCCCTTGCACCAACTGGGGAATATTGTCTGCGACTGCCTGGAATTAAATAAATCCACAATACATTCATTGTGTGCAACACTTTAAGGCTAAAGCAGAAAATGCTTACAGGAGTCTAATGAACGAGGATGTAGTTTTCCAAAACGTTGGCAGTTATTTTAAATGCACTCGTAGATTAATAATAAAGGTGAGTACATGATAAAGACTGAACAACCATACCTTGCAGCTGTGCACTAACTGTTGGTGTGAAGCGGTGTTTTTGTTGGAAGCAGCAGCATTTTGGGCAGCTGCGATGGTCTGAGTCGCGGCAGCCGCTGCTTGCTTTGCAGCTATCTGTTCACAACATACAAATGGATACAATTTAGTCAAGATTCACTTTTGATTTGTGCCGTGTTATTTTGTACTGTTCTGTGCTCAGTTCTGATCACACGGAGAAGAAGCATAGCCCAAAGGTTTTGTAAGAGGAGGAACTAGCTATTGTATTGCATCGCTCAGTCACGTCATGAGTTAATCACCATTGCTATCCTCCCACCTTTTAAAACTTATGGCTAAAAATATACCGTTAAGTTCACGTTCATTCTTAAAGACTACTAGGTTTGAAAAGATGGAAGAAAACTAGCAAAAAGCAACAGAAACCATTCTGAGATGATGAATAAACAATAGCAATATATATATATATCCTGTATATATATATATATATATATATATATATATATATATATATATATATGGGTCTAAAAAAAAAATCCCTCAGTAAACAGGTGCGCAAGTCCTTGAAGCAATGTTTGATATATTTTAAAGTTGGGCTATAAGTTAAACAGTTATGAACAATTAGTGTTTTACGTGTTAAGCACTTTAAACAACCTCAGGACAACAGCAGTTTGGAGAAATAGTTTTTTTCTGATTCGACTGATGAACTAATAGCTCGACAAAGTGAGGCTAAAAATGGATTGCTTCAATCTAAAAAAACAAACAAAAGCTTCATAGAAGTTTAAGTAAACACTATTTTATAAACCTTTATTTGTCAATTGGGCATTGCATGGTGATTCTGGCTGAACTATTTTAGTTTTCCTGCAAGAATCAGCCCAGATTGCACTGGAAGTGTAGCTGCTGTTATCTGCTTTTGCAAAGAACCAGATACTTTTATATAAATAACCCATTCCATCCATCCAGCCATCTATTATCTTTTCCCGCTTCTTCCTTTTCGGGTCGTGGGGGTCACTGGTGCCCATGCCCAGCCATCACTGTGCGAGAGGTAGGGGACACATTGGACAGGTCTCCAGTCCATCACAGGGACACATACAGACAAACGAGACAAACAATCATTCACTCTCTCACTCACACCTAGAGACAATTTAGAGTAACCAATCAGCCTAACATGCATGTTTTTGGTCTGTGGGAGAAAACCGGAGAACCTGAAGAAAATCCACGCATGCACAGAGAGAACATGCAAACTCCACCCAGAAAAGCCCCGTCAATATAAACTGCTAAAAATATTTTAGATTTGGGTTGCTTTAGAAAGACAACAGCCCACTTTGGTTGCAGCTCCATTCAGACTGGTCATTAGCTAGTTTATTTGATCAAAATTAAACTATTTATCCAACACTGATACAGTTTACAAAGCTATCTACAACAGGTAAGATATTAATTGTTCATACCCTTTGCACAGAAACCCACTTCAAATGATCTGAACTATCGCTTTAAGGTGGTATTTGGTACTTTTACTGTACCCAACACTGTATGATCAACAATAAATGTATACTCCACTGTGCAGCTTTTCTTTTCAATATTCTGTTTAATATTATTTTCAGAATACTAAATGCACATTAAAAGACAAGCATATCTGCTGCACAACAACCGAGAGCCATTTACTTTGTTTTGACACTCCAAAATGAAGCGGTCTAAAATGTTTGTAGGTAATTGTTACAAGCACACTTGGAGATTAATAACATTTTCCTTGACTGGCTTACAAGCTGCTGTGATGGAGGCGACCATTAGCACCATTACTGAGACCATCTGATGCATGGAGGCAGGCTGAGATGCATGTCTGATAGCAGACTTATCCCAGCTCCCGGGTAATGAATAGTTTATGTGCCTGGGAAATTGAACATTGGGTGCTCTAGAGCAGAGAGGTGGTAGTCATTAGGGACAAACTGATACTGAGGGCTAAACACAGATCTGTTCAAAGATAGTTGATTCAGAGCATTAATGGGATTTACAGCTCACTGAAGAGGTGATGGGAAAAATAGCATGGGTATATTAATAAATAAATGGTTTACTCTTGTAAAAATAAGTGCATAGCTATTTAATTATTTGCAATTTTGTTTGGTGTTTATAGCAAATTCCTTGAATCTCAAGTAAGGTGAAGCAAGGAGAAGGTTTAATGGCCAGTTTCAGGTTGACTGATGAGAACACGTTTCCTCATCGGACTCACCTCCAGCCGGATGACTAGTTTTTTCTTTATGGCGTTTTGAGCCGCAGCATTAGTGGCAACACGTAGCCCCTCAGCTGCCTCCCTGAGCCTCTGCTGCTGGTCCTCATTCTCCGGATAGGCAGCTGCCCCCTGAGGGCAGAAAAGCACACATTCATGCATACATGTGCAAATGTGCAAACACAGACACGCACACTGCCATGACGCACACTGAAAATCCAGACAAGAATAACAGCTACCAGGCCATCGTGATGTAAGTTTATCGATTCCTGTTACTTTGCACATCTCATAGGATTGATGCAAAGAAGCGCTAAGTTCTGTCTGCTTTCAGACAGTTGCTACGGAAACCGTCAGATCCTCACTTCCTCTTTGATAATGGCAGTGATGTGATGATTAATGTGTCACAGATCAAGCACATCCTAACGAGCTACACTTGCACGGGTATTTCACACTCATAATATTCTGCTCAACACTATCATGCGTTTGTTAAAAGCCAGCGCTGTTGCCTCTTTTTATTTTGGGTTGTTAAAGTATTGCTATTCAGTATTGCAAATACTTTTTTTTTTAAATCAAAGGGATGGAATTTAGATAGGATCTTTCAACATAACTTAAAAGTTGGAATTAAATGCACAGAGAATATTCAGACTGATCCATATTACAAGATGAGTAGGACTAAATACATGTAAAAGATTTAACTCATGATGTAAAGTAATAAACTATAAAAAATACTTTATTTAAAAAACCATCACCTTCGCAGCCTCCACCATCCGAGCCGTGGCATCAGCCAGGAGTTTGGCTGCAGCAAGAAGTTTTTTAGAGTTGTCAACATCAACTTCTGCCTCTGCGTCCGATCTCATGGCGTTGACTAAATCTGAAGTGGCTTGGGCCAACACCCGGGCCTGACGCACCATCTCGCCTGTTCATACACACGGTCATACATCAGCATGTAAATCTATACAGCCCCGACAAAACTACTGAAGGGATCGACTCAAACAGCAGCAAACTGGCAACGTTTGTGCTCCAGCTGAAAATCAGCTTGCGATGCAAAACAGATTTGGACTGTTTGAGTAGAAAATCATGTTTTTAATTTGGATAACCACAACTGTTTAACAGAGGTGTTTATATGTCAGAGAACTCATGAGCTGAGTCAAAAGTGTGTTCAGGGGAACTCAGACCAAATGCAACACACATCTGAATCAGAACAGTGATAAGTGTGGCTGCACCGAAACAATTTCACTTCTAAGCACCTCATTAATGTAGACACGTATAGATCAAAAGCATTTGAATGCACCTATTCATTCATTTTCAGTGCCAGTGTCAATTTATTTCTATAGCACATAAAAACAAGAAAAGCTGGCCAAAGTGCTTTACAGTTGTCAGATTAAAAAGAGTAAAATATATATATTGTGCCACTCAAAAAACATAGTTAACAAAAAATAAATCATATTCAACTTGTTCTCAGACTCTGCATAGTATTAATTTTCAATGAATAAACAAGTCTTAATCTTTGTTTTGTCAAAAAAAAGAGTATCCTTCATGTTCAGGACTTAATTAAAAGTATTTATCAAATTAATGCAAATTATTTCCCTTTTTTGCAATCTAGTTTTACTATTAACACCAATGCAACCAGAAATACAAGATGATTAAAAAAAAAAATGTAATAGAGAATGGTAAAAGTTGGTAAATCTATTTGTTATTTTAATTTTATGCAACATCCTATTCTCGTCCATTCAGTGAGCAGTCTCCCAAAGATTCCTCATCCTGTGAATTTTCATTGTTTTCACCTTTATCTCCTCTTTAGCTTAGGGTTTCCAATGACTCACCCACCTTTTACAGAAATAAAAATCACTGGAATATATGTGACACCTCCCCACACATCTGCTATAAAAAGCTGCTTTCTGAAACTCCCACCTCAAGCTTAAAATAACCCACTGAGCAAAAGTTAATGGAAGACATCTACAACCTACATCTGACAGCTTTGGGAACGAGCCAGTCCTTTCAGTGCTTATTGTAATTCTACAGTTTGTCTATTTTCTAATGAGAATTTATTCAAGAAAAAATGTTTGCGTTGGTTAAAAAAAAAAAAAAATCTCAGGTCATGTGTTTCCTGTTAAGTTTCAAAGGCTCCCTGATGCTGATTGAGACCAGACCAGGAACTCTGTAGTGGTTTTGGATGACATGTCTCCTGCAACCCCCTGGGAAACGACTTGCTTTGAAAATACTTCAACCTCATGACTCAAATCAAAACACTTAACCTGAGCTCTGAACGTGCATGGAGGACTTTTCAGATCATTTTACGTGGAAACGAATGCAGTTAATATTTTAGGCTTCCTGATGCCGTCAAAACATGTCACAAACAGGTCAACTTAAAGCAGGCATTCCATAAGAACCAGCTCATTGGCTCTGGTGACATAACTCACCAGCATCCCCCATGGAGGAGAAAATATTTTCAGTCACGTTCATGATCGTGTCCGTGGCTTGGTCGTAGCGTCCGATGGGCTCTCCGCAGCTGGCGTAGTGGCGGACATGTTGCAGTAGGTCGCTGAGGGTCTGGCTCACCACACCAGCTGCTGTGGCGACTTGTTTCAGGAGCTCGCCGTCATCGCTTGCCGAGCGGCAGGCTTTCACACAGGTCTCAACAGATCGGTCCACCAGTTTCCCAGCCTCGACAAGCTGCTCCTGACACACTGGGGAGCTGATGGTTGGACTCACCACCTGCACCACACACAAAGGTCAGCTGTAATTCAGACAAATCAGAACTACACTGAATATACATTAAAGCAAAACATTAATTATTAAGAGAAATTTCTCCTGCATTGCATGTCAAAGTTTAAAACAAAAGTCTTGCATGTTCTGCTAGTGCTTGGAGTAATGTATTTTTCGCTGTATACAGTAAGTCGCACCTTTTTGCATAAATTTGCATGCCCTGTGACTTATACACTGAAGCGACTTATTTATGTTTTCCCCCATATTTATAACTCAGTTTTTGACTGAGATCTGATGATTTCATTCATTCTGACATGGAAAATATTGAACACTACCATTTTCAGCCAGTAGAGGGTGCTCAACTAATATGGCAAACCAAGTGTCTCATTAATAAGTAAAAGTGGCTATTAATGAAACACTTGTCTTGCCATATAATCACCTTCATCTTGCTCTGGAACTCCTGGAGCAAACGTCAAATCAGCTGCATTTTGCTGCACCACCCAGGTGACTTATGCGTAAAAGCGACTAATTTATGCTTTTTTTCCCACCTTATTAGACACATTTGGACTAATGCGACTTATATGGCGGTGCGACGTGTACAGCAGCAAGCATGGTATGTGATCATATTCAGCAACTATACTGAAGTATAAAGTGAATATTTGTAACATTAACTGAGTTATAGCCATTTCTGTGTGTGCTATTATATGTTTGCTGTGGCGCACATCTGGGATTGGATCATTTCCAAAAAGTAATCATTTGTAGAGGGACATCCGAACATTACTTTCTGAGAATTTCATAAAAATCAATCCAATGGTTCATGAGATGTTTAGTTTAAAAAGTCACACATTACACAAACGGGGAAATACACAATCACCTGCCTATAATAACAAATAAAAAAATTAATTCAGTCAACATCAAAGGTTAAACAACCTCCATTGCTTGGCGTGTAACAAACTGGATTGGTACCTTGGTGCAGGCGACCAGTTGGGATGTGGAGAGGGCGCACTGAGTGGCAGCTGCGATCACTCGGTTCTGCAACACGGTGTCCTCGGACACCTGGGCCACATTCTTGGCCTTCAGGACCAACATAGCAGCTGCATTGGCCACCGCTTTGGCCAGATTCATCAGGGTGTCCTGCAACATATTAATCAGTGTCCTTCACTGATCCCGAGTGCAGCTGTGCACATGTGACTGAGGGGACCAGGAAAGTAAATGTTGTCAGTCCGTTTTGCTCAGCTGATTTAACGTGATTACTGCACTTCTGCAAAATGAAAGAGGACTCAAACCCTCACAAAAAAGTGATAATGATACATTTAAACTCCATTGTTAGGTGAAGAAAATGAATTGCACATAGCTTAATATCAATGAGACCAAGCATGTATATGATTCATATACTCTCCCTTCAATTAGCAATAAAAAGTAAAAGGTATGAGAGCTGTGAGGACAACAAACAAGACGAGAGCGGCACAATAAAGAAGAATGTCAATGCCAGAGAGTAAAAGAAGCAGCTGGTTAGCTTAAACAGAGCACTAGGAGACTGTATAATTATTGATGCTTTGTTACAAACCCACTGAAGGTGTTAGCTTTATAACACAGCCTGAGGTAATTACACAAGTGTGTATTGACATTTTTATGGGAGGCCTGAGGGTAACGGCCTGTGTGGAACTTCCTGTTTGGCTGACATTGACATAGAAATAGTGAGTGGGCTGCGTCCAACCTGGAACTTCTCATCAGTCTCGCCCTCCCCCATGTGACGGAGCAGGTCCCCACTGGCTTGTCCGATGCTTCCTGCTGCAGTCAGCACCGTCTGTCTGGGCTGCAACAAGATGACATCAGCACATTCATCACACCAGCTTGGCCTGTTCTCACACTGACCTTCCACAATAATCTAAAACAGGATCAGAAAAGCCTCTATAATGCATCTTAACTGTGACACTATTAGAAGGAATTTAACAAAATTGTTTTTTTTTTCCTGACTTCTGGGAATTAGTTACAGATAAAATCCAAAACAAACAAAACAAACATCCCCACAGTAATCAGTAGGGATCTCACCTCAGCGGCTGCAGGCTCAACAGATCTGAGCAGATCTGACACAGCTCCTGCCAGCATCCTGGCAGCGCCCATCAGCTTGTGCCCGCTTCCCACCTCGTCGTCCATTAATGCAGCCAGGAGCTTGACTCCCTTAGACATTTCCGTGAGGTTGGAGGAGATTGTGGTGATGGCGCAGCCCACCGCTGTGTAGTCGGTCTCCGTTGGTTCACCTGCAGAGGAGAGGCAGCCGTCATAGCAAACTACATCAACCTGCATCTCTGCAGCGCATCTTAATTCGCCAAACTGCTGCGGCATTGATTTAGCAAAGCCACAGGGCAGCCTGCGTGTCATTCACTTTAACATGCACATCAGTGTCATAATTAGAGTCTATCTGAAATGGCTTCATAGAGCTGAGGCCATTGATGGAGCAAGTAGCCGTGAAGAAATAACATAGAAAAACAAACTTTGAATTAGATAGTGGAGGGAGCATGAGTGAAACCGTCACAGATGGTAAGGTTAGATTAAAGCTTGGTACCAGAACACATAAAGTAACTGAGAGAGAAAAAAAATCTGTTGCAATTGACTAAAATAATAAGCATTTATTGAGTAATACACTCAGAACAAACCATAAACCTGAATTTAGCTGTGGAAATCAAACTAAAAATGACAAGTGTGTGTCGTCTTCAAGCTGTTCATCGTTTGCCCGGGAGCTCACCTGCTGTTAGATTGACCACTGAAGCCGTTCCAGCAGTGATGGCATCAACCTGAGAGTGGATTTCATGTTTGGACTCATCCACTTTGTTCTGAACCCAAACCCTGGAAGCCTTTTGGACGATGAAAACAAGAGTTTTTTTCATCACAGAGAGAGATTTACAGCTAATATTTACTGCAATCACATGACAAGGCCAGTTAAACTTATGGCTTCAGCTTCTAACACTATCTATCCACATTTGAAGTCAGTTCCGGAAAATAATATTGTTGTTAGAATATAAATTTATTTTAGGTAGTCTTTAAAAAATTCTAGCAGCTGAAGTATCAAAAGGCAAACAATCTAAAGAGATAGTGAGTGTTGGCCTAATTGTGTGAATGTGAATTCAGCATCTACATTGTTGTTGTCCTGTTTTCCCATTATTTTCTGCAAACACTTCCGTATATTTTTTGTTATTTTAACTATTCATAACGCCAAATATTCAGCTCAAGTATTAGATTGTAACAATGACTTTTGGCTTTCTACTTGTTGTATTCTTCCAAATGTTGTACTGTATTTAAAAATTGTTTCCCCATAGAAATAAATTGAAAGATTATTCTCTTTAAAATCTGCTTCTGTATACTTTTACTATTGTTTAGCTTTACTACTTTTGATTTTTAGCTGCTACTTTTAAGTTTGAGCTACTGTTCTGCTACTTTTAGCTTTTACAGTAGCTAGCCTTTTGCTACATATAGCTTTTAGCTGCAACTTTTACCTTTTAGGTAGTCGCTTCTTTTAGGTTTTAGCCAGCCTTGTTCAACTTTTAGCTTTCTTGCAGCCTTTGCCACTTTTTGCTTCTAGTTATTTTTTTTTTTTACCTTTGACCTTTTAACAATATTTTATTACACTTAATTTTCAGTTAGTTTTTTTGCTACTTGATGTTAGCCCTTTTTTGCTACTTTTAACTTTTAGCTTGCCATTTGGTACACTTTTAGCTAGCCCTTTCTTACTCTTAGAATTTAGCTACTGTTTTGCTACTTTTGACTTTTAGCTAGTGTTTTACTTCTTTTTGTTTTTTGCTAACCATTTTTCACATTTAGCATTTAGCCCTTTGCTCTTTTAGCTACTGTTTAGCTACTTTTGACTTTTAGCTAGTGTTTTACTTCTTTTTGTTTTATGCTAATCATTTTTCACATTTAGCATTTAGCTCTTTGTTCTTTTAGACTTTAGCTACTGTTTTGCTACTTTTGACTTTTATCTAGTGTTTTTGCTTCTTTTTGCTAAACTTTTTTCAAATTTAGCATTTAGCCCTTTGCTCCTTTAGCTTTTAGCTATTGTTTTGCTACTTTTGACTTTTATCCAGTGTTTTACTTATTTTTGTTTTTTCTAACCATTTTTCACAGTTAGCATTTAGCCCTTTGTTCTTTTTGCTTTTAGCTACTGTTTTGCTACTTTTGACTTTTAGCTAGTGTTTTGCTTCTTTTAGATTTTAGCTTATGGTTTGTTCCTTTTGGCTTTCAGATAGGGTTCTGCTTCTTTTAGCTTTAACAACTCTGAAGTTCTGCAGTAAAGATGGTAAACCCACCAAGTCGTGGCCCAGTGGTGGCAGATTGTCTACGTGTCCTAGGTCAGACTGGGCCTGCTGCACAGCCTTCATGCTGCTGTTGATGGTTCCCATTAAAGCCTGCTGGGCCAGACTCTGTTGACAGCAAATAGTGACACACACTCAGGAATAAACAGAAGCAGTCTGAATAGAGAGTTGTCAAACTTGTTGTGACATTTCCACAAACCACATTAGACAAATGAGTTACTGAAATTGTTCACTGCAGTTTATTTTACGGTCACAGCAGCAGTAAAAAAAACAATTTATATACAGTGATGAAACATATGAGAGCATTTTCTTCCATTATTATGTTTTAGTGCTTTAAGTTTAAAACAATAAGCATAGAAGTATTGCAGTGTTTCACCCATTTTAATATTTAAACAATGAGAATCCTGCTCACCAGGGGAGGCATGTGTCCTCTGTGCATCTGCCCGGTGGTGATTTGCTGCTGAGCAGAGGGCATGGTGCCCATATTGAAAGTGTCAGGACCACCAACCGAGCCGGACCGCATGATACCGGGAAGGGCCACTGACCCATGCTCCACACGGCCTACCCTGTTGAACTGCTGCTGCAAGATAGTGGATCTAATATGGAAGATTAAAAAAATGAATGTTATATAAGACCAGTTGTTTTAAGTTTTTATTGTTCCAATGCACCATATCCAACTTACATGCACCTGATGCTTGCAGATGTTAGGAGGAGAAATTAAACAGTAAATTATTTAGGGCGGGTGACTTTTATTTTATTTCTCTTTCATGTATTTTAACTTAGGACGACCTGCACACCATCATTTAAAGCCTGTGGTTTAAATAAATTCTAATTGACACATCCATGTGTTAGTTGCCTCATTTATTTTGTAGGAAAACTTATGATTAGGTTAGTTAAATCACGACACCAGATGATAACAAATGTTTAATTAATTTTGATTGCAAACTATTACAAAACGATAATTACTGCGTAACAAATTTTAAGCACCAACAATCCTTCCCACAGTGAGCAGACCTTGTCAGAGTAAACACAGCACAGAAAAATGGGTTTTTATGCCCAACAGATGCTTCTGACTAATAGTTAATTACAGCTTGTTTACAGAAGCAACAATTATGTTTTTAAAATGAGGTCCACAACACGAGTCCACTGGCCCCATAAGCAGGAAACACAAGCACCAGTTTGACAGAAAATACTTAATAAAAATAAAAACAATACGTGGATTTTATGTGAAAACATATTTCCAGACTCGGTTTCACACTCACACAACAGCTGTGTTGGACACCAAGGAACCACAAAATCAATTGCGCTGTAGAGACGGGTTTCAAGAGCAGCGCTGCTTTCACACTCAAGTAAACTTCTGTCATGCCTCTTCCTGCCTCCGTTCTTTCTCGTCCTCAAAGCCTGCAACCCCCAAAATTAATCTCAGGAAAGGCCTTAAATATAGTTTGTGTCTCCAGACGGGAGAAAGGAAGAGTGAGGAGGAAAAATGAAAGATGTGAGCAATAAGAAAAAAAATTGTAAGTTATAGAGATGTAGAATCCATCACATATAGAACGGTGGTAATGTATCTCTATATTGTTTAAAGTGATTTTTATTTTTTGCCCCAGACACAAACTCATGTTAGAGAAATTTAAATTTATGCCACAAATTGAAATTAATGGGACTTTTGAAGGAGGAATAACACATTTTAAAAAATGACTTTGATCCCATGTCACTTCCTCACCGTGTGCAAATTCAGTTAGAATGTACTGAGCCATGAAGACAGCATGAGAGAAGCACTGAGGTTGCATGCGCGGAAATGAGAACAAACGAGCTTATAGTGACTCCAAAAGGTAAATAATTGATGATGTACATCCATTGACTAGCTTCCAAAAGTTTAATTTAAATCTGTCAACTGGTTCATGGAAGATTTTTGGTAACAGACAAAAAATAGTTAAATGCAAAGTTTTTAACAAAGCTCTTGCATAAAAAAAAATCAGCACTCAGCTTATATATTGTGGATTACTCTCAGTTACTACTGCACCAGATTTAGCTGAATATCTGTAAAGCTGACTGAGTTATAGTAAATGTTGTGTTTGCTAAGGTTGCTAAGCTGTGGCAGCCATCATAAACTGGACTGACTACAAAAGGTAATCAGCTGTAGATGTAAATACAGTGAACACAATCTGAGCATTTCATTGAAATTCATCAAGTGGTTTGTGAGACATTTTGCTAACAGACAAACAAGCGAACATATTACTGCTCTTTTGCCTTTGGCGGCAGTAAATATTAGCACAACATTTCATTTGCTTATATTTTATTTTTTTAATGATGCAGGGCTATATTTCAATGATCTTAAAGCTTTTCACAGTTTTATAAATCATATTTTATTAGCTAAACATTCAAAGAACTGTTTGTCTGCCTAATATGAACTTTTCTCTCTACACGTTGCACCGCTGTATAAGTCGCATCAGTTTAAATATGTCTAATAAAGTGGAGAAAAATATAAATGCATTGGATTGCCGTATTAGTTGCATCTATTATGTGTCGCTGCTGAGGAAGGAGGATGAGGAGCATTAAGTGTAGAACCACTAGACTGAGGAACAGCTTCTACCCTGAGGCTGTTAGACTCATGAATCTCTAACCAGAATAATCACTGTGAAAAACCACATCATGCTGCTGCTGATCTGTTTCATGTTGCTGCTGATCTGTTTCATGTTGCTGCTGATCTGTTTCATGTTGATGTGTTCATGAGTGCTCATCTATTCACAGAGACTCATGTTCGTGCTGCTGTTGGATGTAATGTTTTTATGCTTCTAGTGCTTAGTGTATAATTAGTTGATGTTTTTCTTAGTTATATCTTAGATCTTATTACTGTTTTTCTTTTACATTTTATTGTTGGATGTTACTGGGACCCTGTGTGCATAATTTCATTCCACCACATGTACCACATGGGGTGCGAATGACAAATAAAGAACCTTGACTCCTTGACCACCTAGAAACGTGGGCCGGTGTTGTGCCAAAAATTGATTGGCTGCCAAATGGTGGCTGTGGGAGCGTGCACGGGAGAACTTCAACAAGAATTTAACAAGATTAACACTTAAAAACAATTATTTATTTGCTCGACATTATAGCAAAGGTGTGTCTCAGTTTAACTTTTCCTTAATAAATGCACTTTGACGGTCAAACCTTTGTTCCAGGAGTTCTGGAACGAGACGAAGGTGGCTTGGTATGGCAAGCCTAGTGTCTCATTTATAGCCACTTTTACCTATTAATGAGACACTTGGCTTGCCATATTGCTCAAGGGCCCTCTAGTGGCTGAAAATGGTAGTTATCAATATGTTCCATGTCAGAATGAAATCGTCAAATCGCAGACAAAAATTGGGTTATAAATATGAGACAAAACGTATATTAGTTGCTTCAGTGTATAAGTCGCAGGACTTGCAAATTTATGCAAAAAGGTGTGACTTATATGGCAAAACTATGGTACGTGGATAATTAAACATTAAGGTTTCAAAAGCTTAAAGAACCAGCAGACTGTGCTCCTGAATGAACGCGGTCAGCACTTCTTGTTTTTACAGCAGACAGGGCATAAACACGACTTACTTCTTAGGAGAAACAGATTCTTCCAGCATGGTGGATTCTTCATCCCCCTCAAGGCCAAAGCGATCCTTACTCTGCTTCTGTAAGCAGGTGAGAGAGACATCACAGCAAATATTGTTTGGTGCTTGTACAGAAATCTGGATGAAGGACGCATTAACTCAAAGATGTTTTTCTGTTGCACTTGCCTTTTTAAGAATAATGTCAATATACCCAGCTATCAACTGGGATATCTGTTCTCCCTCCGTAGTCTGGACGGAGTAGTAACTTTCCTGATACTCGCCAAAATCCTTTAAAACACATCAGAAGCAACACTCTTTAAGGGACAGCGCATTGTCATCTGCTGAGATGAAAACATAATCTGTATGTATTAGAAGGAGTGGGGAAATGTGTGCTCAGACAGAAGAATGCATCACTGGGGGTGAGGGACAGAATACATTTGGCAGCACTTTCATCATTTCAGCTCTTAAGGAAAAAAAATAGCTGTTTTGAAGCATCCCATTTTTCTAAAGAGCTGATTGCATCTGAACCGTAATGAATACGAGAACTGCTTACTTCAAAGTGTTGTGCAGAAACACAAGAGTATTATTATTACTTTTCTTTTGGTTTAAATCAATGATGGCAGATGTACCTTGGGAGATCGTTGCAAAATTTGCACGATCTGTTAATCTTTAAACGGCGTAATCGTTTTCAGCATGAGAGAAAAAAAAAACCCCAACAGCTTTAAGAAAAAAAAAAAAAAAAAAGAAGCAGCTCTCAGATAAATAATACATCTAAATTCTGCACATTCTCCCCCTGGAGTCTATTGTTACCTCAGATAAAGCAGCGAGCTAGCATGCTGAAAATGTTCAATATTCCAGTGTGAAGCCTCAACATTTTTAAAGGGACTGCGAGTGTTGGGAAATAAAATTGAAGCCACGCTGCGCATATGAATGCATGCATAACGTCAGAAGTGGCTGGAAAATGGTGCTAAGGACTTGATGCAGGGAGTTGCTCACACCGTACCAAGGTGAAGCTCTTGGGGGAGGCTGCCCATCTCTTGACAGTTGTTAGAGGCCATTCCTGCACCACATCCTTCGTCTTCTCATCAACTCGCATCACAGACTCTTTGGTTATTCCCAGCAATCTTGGGACCAGCTTATTTTTACCCTTCATCTTTTCCTGTCAGGGGAAAACAAGATTAAAAAAATAAAAAAAACAATCAAACCTTGGACAAAATTTAATTTGGTCCTTAAGCATCTACGCAGACAATTACTACAAGGTGTAGGAAAGGCAATTCCAGTTCCAAAAAGGTTGGGACATTTTGTAAATTGCAAATAACAAACAAATGCAGCGATTTGCAAATCCCATACACCCAGTTTGTATTCACGATGGAACACAGTAAACATGTCAAATGTTGAAATTTTATATTGATCTCAGAAAAAAAAGAAGAAAAAATTTTAATGATAGCAACACTTGTCATAAAAAAGGCATGTTTACCATCGTGAAACATCCCTTCTTCTTTTAGCAACAGCCTGTAAACATCTAGGAGCTGGGGAGACCAGTCGATGGAGTCTTTGGAGGAGAATGATGTCCCATTCTTGTCTGATGGAGGATTTTGGCTGTTCAAGAGTCCTGGGCCTTTTTTTGTTGGATATTTGGACTACAAGCAGGCCAGTTCAGCACCAGGACTTTTCTCCTATAAAGCAGTGCTGTTGTAATGGATGAAACATGTGGCTTAGCATTGTCTTGCTGAGTTATGCAAGGCCTTCCCTGAAAGAGATCCATCTAGATGGGAGCGTATGTTGTTCTAAAACCTATATACACTAGTCCAGGGGTGTCAAACTCACTTACTAAAGGGGGACAAAATTAAACCTTTTTCAAACTAAGGGCCAGTTTCAGAATCTACATTAACTCAAGTTAGATACCCAACATCTTTTCTTGGTGGCAGGTTCCTCAACAAGAGTTTGATTAGTCTCATTTGACATTCTCTTTTGCACTTTTGACATCATAATCAAAGATTACTGAAAAAAAAAGTTATAAAAGTATTTAACATTTAAAATATCATCTTGGGGGCCAGATAAGATTTCAACGAGGGCCACATTTGGCTCCCGGGCCTTGAGTTTGACACATATGCAGTAATCTCTGGCAAGATTTCTCCAGATTCTTGTAATCATTTGATGATACAGTATTATATGACTGTAAATAAAGGCTGTTCAAATTCTTTACAATTTTTCATTGAGGAGCATTTTTCTGAAAATATTTAGCTTTTTTTTTTTCTCACATAGTTTTGTTTACAGACTGATGAACCTCTACTTCTGAAAAACATCTACCTCTCCTAAAGGTTGAAAACAGCACCTCAGACTGAGGAAGTCTCTTGGATGAGAGACGAAACGTTTCTAGATTTTTTTGCTTTGTTTTGTTTTTTTGAATGTCCAGAGGACCAGATTGAACTTTTTTGGATCTCCTAAAGGTTATTTTTGCACTTTTACTAACTTTGTTATCCACTGTTGTCATCACTCTTTCATAAAACCAGGTCTCTCTTGTAAATGAGTCCCTGAGGCTCATTGGAATTAACCTGTCTAAATAAAGGTTGAATGAAAACTTCTTGGAAGGCATACCATTTACTTTTACAGCTTTTTGTTGTCCCTTCTCTTTTGAGACGTTTCGCTGTTATCAAATTCAAAATGACCTCATTTGAAAAAAAAGGCACAATTTCTTACATTTAAATAATTGATGTTTCATTCAACCTTTATGTATGAGTTTTAAAAACATTCAATTCTGTTTTTCTCTACATTTTGCATAAGGTCTCAACTTTTTCAGAACTGAAGTTGTAAATCGTGCCTTTATTCTGCTGCTGGAATACAGATGTTGTCTCTGCAGCTCAATGCCCCAAGTGGCTGAAGAGAAGAGCAGCTGTGAAGTGACCCAACGAGCTCGGGCTTGTTTAACCGCTGCTTTATTGAACAGGGGTCTCCACAGGCGTGAGTCACTGTCGACACAGCAGCGTGGTGCTTCCACCAGCTCTGCTGCCCACTGAAAATCCATTACAGCTCACTTCAGACACCAAGCCTAAGCTTGGCTCCCCTCCAGGGGTGGAAAGGACAGAGCAAAAATTAGCAGTGTGTAGCAGCGAGGTGGTCAAAAGTACATTAATTCAATGTGTCAGAGCTTTTGTTTTTCTTTATCACAGGGTCAAAATAGTTATTTGAGACAATACTACAATAACAGTTTCATTCTAAGCTCTCTTACACTCAAGGACAGATAACATTATTTTAGGTCTCATGAAATCTTTTGTGCAAACACTCTTTGTTTTAGGTTACATTATTTGAACGTCATGGTTTTCAAGGCTGCTATCAAGCAAGAAGAGACCTGTCGAATTTGAAGTGGAAGTATGATTTATTGTACCATTTTGTATTGTTACCCTTAATTATTTCAGGGTAAACGTGCTTGAGTCAAATAATACAGTCGAGGCATTAGGCTGTATACACCTGCATGCATGACTGCAACAAACCCACATTTAAGCTAATTATGCAGCTCTGCATCCCCCCCCCCCCCCAAATGCAGTGATTAAAGACTGACAAATGAGAAATGGAGGGTTACAAAAAAAAAATCCTTCAACAGTGCCACGTTGTCGATTTTGCCTTTGCAGACATCGAGAGCAGGGTGCAGCGGGAGTGAATTATTTAGCAGAGTCTTGAAATCTCCATCACTACATCTCCTCTTTGAACACAGACTGTGCCTGCACTCACGAGTTTCCAAAAACTGCACACAAAGATAATTTGAACCTCGCGGTGTGCTTTAACTGCGGGGCAAACACTCCATTTATCATCCATTAAGACCCCCGCAGATAGCTGCACTCGTCCTCATTTCCCCCCCATTTTTTCTGCAAGTTTGTAGCCAAATGGGCTGCTGTCGGGAAGCTTTTATAACACTTGCATCTTTATCTCGTTCCCTTTCCATTCCACTTTTGCGTCGCCAAATCGGAACAGAAAAAAATTGCTACACTGTCACAAGCTTCCACTCAGAAGCTCTTGATTTGTTGTGATAATAGGCTTCAAACACGCTTTCATACCTGTTTGACAGCACAGTCCATCACAGTGGGTATCAGAGCAGCTTTTGTGTCAAAGCTGCCAATCACTACAACAATATGGCTGTTCAAAAAAACAAAAATGTTGTACAATATATAAATATATTATTTTTAATACGAGTCAGTGAAAATTTGGGAACAATACTAATGATTTTTGCATGTTTTGCCCTATTTTTATTATATTATAGGTAGGAGCATGGTGAAGATAGGGCTCCAGTTAAGCAAACACAACACCATAAACATGTTAACATGCTTAAAAAATAGATTTAACTTAATGTGATAGTTTAGATATTTTGAAGTGGGGTTCTGTGAGATGATTTTAAGCAATCCGTATCCTATCAGTTGACGTTGGTAGAAATCTAATAATATTGCTGCTGGAATAAAAATGTAAACCAGAGTTTATGGCATCGTCAAGGTTAATAAAATGAGTGTTTTCATGAGTCATTGACATTTTTTAAGATTAGGGTTGTTCTAGGGCAACACGTTGGCACAGTTGTTAGAGCTGCTGCCTTTCAGCAAGCAGGTCCCTGGTTCAAATCCTGGTCCGGGGGCCTTTCTGGGTGGAATTTGCATGTTCTCTTCGTGCATGCGTGAGTTTTCTCCAGGTATTCCGGTTTCCTCCCACAGACCAAAAACATGCATGTTCAGCTGATTGGTAACTCTAATGTCACTTTTTCATAGTACCTTTTAGTTCTGGTACAGCACAGTTCGACTCGGCTCGGTACGGTCCACGTTGTTTTTCATTATGCTTTCAGTACCAGTTCAAGTGGACAGGGTTCAAATTGACGTCACACGCCTCACCAGCTGGGGGCAGTGAGACCTTGAAACAGGTTTCAGTACAGGGTGAGAAATTATTTTGAAGTTTCTGGCAAATTAAAAAGAATACAGATTATTAAAATGATTGAATTAAAAAAAAAAAAAAAAATATATATATATATATATATAACATTTTTTATATGTTTTCTTCATCGTTTGATGTATTTGCACTCGTGTCTATGTTTATTGTTCAATTTAGATGTTTCTTGTTCACAGATATTTATTTTTATTTTTAGCTTTGCTTTAAAGTTTAATTCTTGTTTTGTGAATTGTACATATTTAGGTTAGAATAAAGTTGAACTAAACTCTTCTTTAAACATATTTGAGGGAAACATTTTTGAGAGATCCAACATTTTGTGTCTTTTTATGATTTTTCAGCTGAACAGATTTTTTAATAATAATTAAAGTGAAAACAGGATTTCATGATAAAGCTGGTACCATTTATTTATTTATTTTAATCTTCACTAATAAAAAAAAAACAACATTTTTTTTAATAAATAAAATGTTTTTAAAAATCGTTTCCACCCTCCATCCCAGACCCGTCCCAGTCCGCCAGTCTGCCGGAATCAGGGTTTGGCCTTCATGAGCAAATGAGGTCGGGGTCTGGGCAACGGCCTTCTGCGAGTCAGCAGCTCGTATGATCCTCCGCAGTGACCAGTGAAGCTCAGAGCCGGGGAGATGATGCCTTGCCCGGCCTGAGGGGGCTCCGAGGCTCCGGTGGAGAGGATCAGAGAAAGTTGGGGACCGGCGGAGCTCCATCTAGCTCACTCTGAATTTTGTCATCGGCGAACAAGCACAAAAAATGCCTGCAATTCAGCATTAGACCACGGTGTTGTCAGTACTGTTTTTTAAATCCTAAAAATAGATCCAATTGTTCCTAGAGTTCGAACACCGGTAATTGCAAATGGTGGATCAAATGTTTTGAAAAACTCTCAAACCCCTTTGGTGACTCCGCCCCCTGACCAACCAGTGACTGACAGTGTTCTGACATCATGTTTTGGTGCTGGCTCGGCTCGTTTGGTACCTTTGAGAAGAAGGGACCAAAAAAGGTTCCCGTTCCATGAAAAATTCATAGTGGAAAAGGGATCAAAACCGTACCGAGCTGAGTCGAGTTGTGCTGATAATGGAAAAGCGGCTTAATTGTCCCTAAGTGTGAGTGAGACAGCAAATGTTTGTTTGTCTTGTTTGTCCCTGTGATGGACTGGAGACCCGTCCAGAGTGTACCCTGCCTCTCGCAGAGTGATGGCTGGACATGGGCACCAGCAACCTCCGCCACCCAAAAAGGAAGAAACAGGTAAAGATAATAGTTTGGTGGATGGAGTTGTTCTAAGATGGTAGTAATCCACTTTAGACTTGGCTCTGTTTGGACTAGCCTTCAGCTGATCAATAAACGGTTATCAGAATTGGTCTCTTTATCTTTTAAAGACAGTGTTTCAAAGAACTGTTTTCAACAGTAATGCATGAGCTGTTTACAATCTTTCTACAGGGCCCCACTTCAAACAACTCAAAGTATCCCCTTAGTGGAGTAAATCAGCTTGTTTTTAGTTATTACCTTCACCAGGAAGAAGGACACTCCATACGTAGGAAGAGACCTGGCCAGCTTCACGTACTTCACTTTTGCCTCGATCTCTGTCATTTCTCCACAATTTTTATGGTCCTGGACAAATAACAGTGTCAACTCTAATTTACCAGTAGTCAATACTTCCCAGCTTTTTAAAATGCTTTGGTGTACTGTAAATTATATGCAAATGTGTAGTTACTTTGCATTTTAATAAAAACATAAAATAAAATGTTGTGGTTCTTGGACTACCAAAAGTTTCAAATACAGAATGCTTTAATTAAACTTGAAGAACTGACCAGTGTAACATACATACTTGGAATATTTTCTTCTCAGACCCTCTCTGCTTGATGTACTCTTTAGGCAGGAACTCCTTCAGGCTACGGAGATAAGAAGAATGTTTTACATGGTTACCAGCTTAGGCTACAGGCATTTCCTTTCCTATTAGCATACCTCTACATTCAAGGTCAATTGTGCTTTATGCACATGTATCAAACAAAGTTGTAACAGCTGATAACCTGAACTTTCCACAGGAGTCAGTCCCTGAGGTAAGAGCCCCTGCTGAAGGAAGTGATAACCGCTGCACAAAAGGCACCAGACAATGGGACTCTGAACAGTGGTGAAAATTGAACGTTTTAATCAAGATAACTTACTCCAGGAATCCAGGCTTGTGTTTGTGCTCCACGTGGGGTCCAAACTGGATCTGAGCCTGGATCCCTGCAAACTCACAGGCTTTATCAAAGGAGACAGGGTGGGAGCCATTCAATATATCATCCCTAGCCTGGAGGAGACACGAGGACAAGGAAGCAGGGGGGGATTAGGTGAAGAAAAAGACAGGACTACAAAGGCATCAGAAAAATCCAAAAATCACCCAGTAGAGTTCTGTAACAAGCACTTTCACTGTGTGCCTTGAATGTTCAGAAACTTGTTATAAAAATATGTTGAGACGATGGAAAAAAAAGACAATTCAGCAATGTTTTACAATATTTCATCTGTACGTAATGATTTTTGTATTCCTTTAGGCTGTTGAGACGTCACTCATATTACGTTTCAATGCATATACAGCCAGGCTCTCCACATTATCTTCACCATTCCAATTGATGGGAGGGGAAAAGCCTTTGTTGACATGTTTCAAATGCCTCTCCCTGCATGCCGTTTTCTCCAGGGGGCAGTCAGCTCTGCCTCACTCTTTCTAGTTCACTGCTGCAAATTTAATGGCTTCAAGAGCTGAGAGGCCATGCTGACAGACAGTGAGAGGGAGAGTGGGACTCCATCTTTGCTTTTAGCATTGGCATATCAGTGCACAGTGTGGACTCAGCTCAATCTTACGTCCCATTACATCAATAAAAACCTAAGCAGCAGCTTACTGCTGTAATGAGCACAACCATGTCCTCTCCCACAACAGCGTCCTTTGCCAAGTGCAACTCACGGCAAAGTGCATGAGCTCTTAGTGAACACAAGAGGACACGCTAAAATTAGGCCTCCTCACACGAGCCATTCACACTGATACACACCGCTCACAAGACAGTGTTAAGCATCAAAAGATGCATAGAATAACTGCAGAAACAGATCATCTAATATTCAGAGCAACTAATGCTCGCAGACAGAGCAGTGGCGTCTTCATGAGCAAAAATATTGTGAAGCGGACATTCATTTCCTGAATCACTAACAACACAAATTGTTACAAATTATGTCACATTTTCTGTGAAATGAGTATACATGTTGCTTAATATTGAATCTATTGTATATTTTTTGTGTGTGTCTATAAAGGTGTGCCTTTTTTCTTCCTCCAGGAGGTCGAGATTGTGTCTTGTGAAAAACTGTTGGGTCTAATAAATCAGAGAAATGGACGCTGCCCATACCCTGCCAACAGGTGCGCAGCTTTCTGAATTGGATTTCTAATTCGATTGGAGGTAATAATTCTGAAATATTACTCCAGATTATAGCAGTTAAATGGGAGAAAAACGTTCAGTGAAGTAAATCAAAAAATTATAGAAAATTTAAGAAAAATGTTATAAAATATCATCACCGATTGAAAAAGAAGATCCAGGTGAGTTTCAAACCTGCATACGTTCCGTTAAAAGACCATTGTTTTACCCACCACAGCTGCAGCCATACAAACTAGAGAATTATTTAAATAAGGTTCTACCATGTTGATGAAGATGTCCCATTTTTCACTTTCTTCTGTTCTCAGTTTTCTGTTCTGATTCCTCTGTTTGTTTGTTTTTTTCATTCAGTCTTTAATTATACAGGTTAGTCTCATTGAGTCATGAAGACTCATTTTCAAGAGAGACCTCTGTCTGCTCCAAATGGATTTAAAAACAGAATATCTTCACTGCTGAACTCAGCAGGTTTCACTGCAACTGTTCCTGCATTTCAGCTCACGTTAAGTGTAGGAAGTGGTCATTTCAACGTGATAAAACCAACTGAATGTGGCCACAGGGCAGAAAATCAGACGTCCCAAATGAAACTTTATTGGATCGGCCTGTTCGGAGTACTGGCAGCATGTTTAGACCCGCTTGATGAACATAGTCATTGAACGGTACAGTCCCATGATGATGAAAAAGTAACAAAAAAAATAAATAAAAAAAACTGCGGACGAATCACTAAAAAAAGTTTTAAATTCCATTTAAAATGGTCAAAATAGTTGAAAAATGCACAGAACACAATACACAGCAAGCTCAGTAAAAAAAGTAATTTATATTGTTTATTAGGAGAACTATGTGGAGTGAACAAGTTTTTTAAGGTGGGGTTCTTCCCCACCTGCCCCTATGAATCGACCACCACTGGTTTAGAAAGTTTAATGTACTAAATCATCCCATGCCCTTTGAATAGTTCTGCACACAAAGAATGTGTATGTAGCAGAATATGGAAATAATAGAAGAATATATATACTGTTGTATAGATACCTTGGATTATAAATCTGGCACACATTGTATTACTATTTTATATTTTCCAGTCACGTTCATTCAACAATTTTAGACAATCTGATTTAATCAAACATTAAAATAAATTTCCACAACCTCATGACACATTGCTGTCATACATAAATATATGTTGTGAATGACTTTGCTGCCACAACATCAAATTTTAGCACAATATCTGTAAAATTGACTGAAAAGTAGTAAGTTTTGTGTTTTTTAAGATCAGCTGGATGTGAGGGCTATCTTGAATTGAATTGTTGACGTACTGTATATCCAGTGGTTCATAAGATATTTTGCTAACACAGAGTCAATGTTGACTCCATTGTTAATTGCAAATGTGTCTACCCAAAGATCTTGTGTAATCTGTTAACACTCAAAACATCTGTAGAGAATCAACTTCAGCAACTATCACATCAGTTGGCTGTGGCAGCCATTTTGAATCAAAATGACTCCAAAATTATTTAACAATAAATATAAATCCAGTGTCCACTGTCAACTGTCCAGATGACCTGACTGAAAATTATTGGATTGTATACCTGGATTATTGAGCATGGACTTTTTGGTATAAATCCAGTGGTTAATTTTTGAAAGTTTTATTAAAATATGTCAAGTGGTACATGGGAAATTTTGGTAACAGACCCATACACAATGTTATTGCTCCTCTTTTGTCTTTTGGCAGCAGACAATAAAAAAGATCATTTAGCAGAGTTAGACTGAAACTCTTTATTCATCCTTTAAAACTGTGTATGTTCTCAAATCAAATTTGGGAACCAAATCAAGTTTTAAAATGAACGCAAGATTTAAACCCTTACATATATTGTAAATTACCGATAATAACAATTATTCCAATTTAACCCAGCAGATAATAAGAAAATCACTCTGTGCCAAAATGATCAACCAGTAGTAAGAGAGCTGGAAACTAAAGCTCCTGGTGGGACTTGACCTAGAAATCAATAACTTTTAAATAAATGATTTGTTACCTGCATATTAACCTGGTAAAATTGTGTGTGTAAAGAGGGAGAAAAGTAATTGATCAGTATTTTATATTAGTATGGTAGTCTATTGAGGAGAAAGGAAATTAGAAATGACTTAATTGTTTGAATTGTGTGAGGAGCTGCACTGCAGGTGGAGTTGTTAGACAGGCGCTATCATTATTTAGTAGGAAATGTCATGGAGAGTAAAGTAACACTGAATATTATCAGAAGGCTGACAGCTGCAAAGGCTGAGGTGAGCCAGTGAAACTGCTGACACCTGCGTATCTCATTATTACCCTTAGCGTGGCTGTAACACGTTTTATTCTGCAGTAATTGCACGTTTACTGTTTAAATTGGATTTATTCATATTTGTTATGAAAGAGGACAGGAAGGACACTGAATTTCTCACAGCAAATGCAGCAAGAGAAAAATAGTGTTTTATTTAGATTGCATGAGTGTGGAAGTGTGGATCTGTCACGTGCATGCTCGCACGCGCGCACACTTGCATGCACGCACGCACAGCCTGCCTGAGGGTCAGACAGTACAATGTGACCACGCAGGGCATTCATCCATCCATTTTCTTTACTTGCTTTTTCCTTTCCGGGTCACATTTGGGAGCTGGTGCTGATCTCCAGCAGTCACCAAGTGAGAGACAGGCAACACCCTGGACAGTCCATCACAGGGCCACATAGAGACAAATGTGACAACCTTTCCTGCTTTCACTCACACCTAATAAAATTTGAGTAACCAATTAATGTAACATGAATGATTTGGTCTGTAGGAGGAAACTTGAGTACATTGTAACAGTGTGGTGTCTCTTTAAGACAGTTCAAGTTACTGATAAGTGATGTCACAGGTGTGCGCCACTATCTTCGGTAGAGAGTTATGAGAGAAGTATGTCATTCCCCGATCTGTTACGGAAGCACGATCCATAGTGTACTTCCGTGTCGCACAGATTGCCGTTGTTTATGAATAAAAACTGTCTTAATTTACTCCTCAGTGGTGAAGCTACATGTCATTTTAACCATGATGTAAATATCCATCCATCCATGCATCCATCATCTTTAACCCCCTTCTTCCATTTTGGGCCACGGGGGTTGCCGGGGCCCATGTTCAGCAACCACTGTGCGAGTGGCGGAGTACAACCTGGACAGGTCTCCAGTCCATCACAGGGACACATAGAGACAAACAAGACAAACAACCATTCACTCTCTCACTCACACCTAGAGACAATTTAGAGTTACCAATCAGTCTAACATGCATGTTTTTGAGCTGTGGGAGGAAACTGGAGTACCCAGAGAAAACCCACGCATGCAAAGAGAGAACATGCAAACGCCACCCAGAAAGGCCCCTGGACTGGGATTTGAACTGGCAACCTTCTCGCTGAAAGGCAGCAGCTCTACCAGTTGCACCACCGTGCTGCCATGACGTAAATATGTCAATGATTTTAACAGAAATGCGAGTGGTGTAAATTAGCAACATGAAAATCGGCGGAGATAGAGCACATACTTTTCTAAGTAAATTAAGACAGTTCTTATTCATAAACACAATTATACTAGTACATTTTCCTTAATCTAGCATATTCAACGATGCTCGGTGCGACCCGGAAGTATTGCTTTTAGCGCATGTGCAAATGAGCAACACTACGGATCATGCTTGCGTAACAGATCGGGAAATGCCAATGGGACACGTGGACTGTGAGATGGACTTTATAGTTTAATTATCTAACGCAAAGGTAACATTACAGCTTGTATGATCTCATACTTGTAACATCCATGCTTGATTACTGCAGTGAACTTGTTTTTGGAATCAGTCAGACCTCCAGCGCACATTTACAACTGTTTCAAAATGCTGCAGCCCAATTTTTAACTTGTACAGGCAAA